GCTTGAAAGGACCTGAAACTCCGGAAGGAATTGACGGTTTTCCCAGGTGTTTAGGAGGTTTAGGGTTTAGGGTTCCGGGGTTTAGGTGTTCAGGAGGTTTAGGGTTTAAGGGATGTTTTGTAAGGTGAGGAAGTCAGGTTCAAGAGTTTAGGGGTTAGGGTTTGGGGTTTAGGGGGTAAGCTACCTTCCTGTTTTCGGACTCAGTTCAATGACGGTTGAGCGATTTAGGGTCGAACATAGGCGACTTAATGGTCGGACCAGGCTGTTGGGGATTTCTATACCATACATATGGGTGGTTCTCAAAAATCATGGCCCTTTTTGGGTTACCCTAAATAATAGGTGCCGTCTTTTTTTTTTAAGGGACCCAACAAGGGACCATAATTTTGACAGCCACCCATATAAGGGAATCCCGAAAAGCAGCAGTACTATTGGTTAATGTAGGGGCCTTAGTTAGAATAGGGTTTTGCGGCTCCTTTTTACAAGTATGGTATAATATACCCTATTCTAATTATTAAGGTAAAAGCCAGAAAGTTGGAATATGATTATCCTAAACCCTTTATGGTAAACTATAGGGTATCCTACCCTGAAACCATATTCCAACTTTCTGGAGTTCCCTTTAAGGCCCCCCGTATTATGCAGGCACCGATCTTCCCGTTGCCCCCACTTAGAGGATCATGGGACTTAGTAAGTAGGTTATAATTGGGGTTATAAGTCCCCTAAGTGAGGTTATCCTAATTATAACCTACTTATAACCTTACTTACTAAGTCCCATGAGCCTTTAAGTAGACCCTAAACCCTAAACCCCATAGATCTCTTCAAGGAGCCCCAAAGATGCCTTTAAGGAGCCCTTTAAGAACCCTTACTAAGTCCCATGAGCCTTGAAGGAGGGGAAAATGAGCAGCTGAGATCCAGGCGCTCAGGGCGCGTTGCCGGCGGGGCCTTTGTTGGGTGTCGCAGTCCGGTGGGTTTGCTCCAAAAATGGACAAAACTGAACTTAAAACCCTAGCAAAAATTAGAATTTTAGCTGTTTCTTACAGGTTATAGTAACAAAAGATTAGAAGTTATTTCTAAGTACCCCTAAGTGGAGTTTAAGACAAGGGGTTCGGGCTTCGAGTTGAGGGTTGTTCAGGATATAGGAGGGTTTGCCCCAAGACCTTGAAACCGAATGCGAAGCCCGAACAAGCCAAGCCATGGAATACCAACAATCGACCGGCTGATGCCTGCCGTGCAAAAACACAACCTCCGACAGCCAACAGTTTCATGTAGCAACCTGATTGCCTAGGGTTCCTTTTAAAGGGATCCTTAAAGGGGTCTACAAGGAATGTAAATCTGCGTGACAGACACCATGATGCCCTGACATTCTGACCCTCAACAACCCAAGGCCCCAAACGCAAAAGCAAAGCTGAAAACAATCAACTCACAAAACCGAACAACTTAAAGCAATCACTAAAGTCACAGCCAGCTCAAAATGCAATTCTAAAGACCCCTAATGTTGGGGGCCGTTTATACCATAAGTATAAAAAGGAACCGCCAAAATAGCATTGGTAATCATTTAAGCCCCTATAGTAACCGTTCGTATAATATGCTCCAAAGGCCACTATATTATACTACCCTTATAGATCCCTTATAGTAACCCTTATAGACCCCTTTCAAGGAATCCTAGGAATCCTATTAAACTCAAAAGGCAAAGGATCAGGAAACCTAAACCAGCCGAGCCCTTGACCGAGTCTTCGGTTTCCATGGCACCTGCAAAGGTGGAGGATGTAGTTTAGTGCTCAACACCAGGAAAGTGGCTGTGTGTGTATACACTTATATATATATATATATGTATACCCACATTTATACATATGTATCTATGTATGTATGTACGTACGTAAGCATGTAAGTATGTATGATAGTGGTTGTACTATAATTAATATAGAGTATCGTCGCATATTATCGCATCGTATGTTGTCGTAGATCAAAGGAAAGCGGAGGTTGAGGTTCAGACTTGAGCGTAGGGCTCATGGTTCATATCCAGGTTTGCAGGTTGAGGGTGTAGGGTTTTAGGGTCTAAGGTTCAGGTTTGAGGGTTTGGGGTTTAATCAGGGTTAGGCTTCAAGGTTCAGGGTGTAACGGTTCAGAGCTCAAGGGTGAGGGTGTCGGGCTTGCAATACTTCTACAGCCAACACTTCGGCCCAAACAGCCCGTGCTGCCCAGTGTCACCATGAAGGTCACGAAAAACAACCCGTTTCAGTAGCAAGAACCGGACCTAAACACTAAAGCCTGAGCCCTGAATCAAGATGTGGACCCCATGGACCAGGTTCGGGCATATGCGCAGACAAATTTTTCCTTACATGAAACTTTTGGAGCCCTCAAGGAATCGTAGTCACAAGAGTCCACGCCTCCGAAAGATGGCTATAGGGGTTTCCAAACATTGAATCCGACACTACTGACTCACTGACGCAAGCCTTTGTAGAACTTAAGCCCTAATAAGAAGTGCAGGAAACAGGGACCTCATTGAAGTAGAAGAAGGCTAATAGGCTAAGGCTGGCTGCCATGAATGGCCATAATATAGGGGCCTTGACAACTAGAATCGGTTTCCTTTTTAAAAAGAATAGGGGCCTTGATAACTGGTAAAGGTTTTGGGGGCCAATTCCAGTATAATTATAGTAAAGAACACCCAAAATGGAATTGTTTTTTTGGGCCCCTATATTACATGTACGAGAAGCTCCGGGAACAAAACACCCCGTGTTATTGCCTAAACTAGGGCTGTAGGACTACTTTACAAAGGAAATTCACAAGCTTCCAACACGCCGCCTATCTCATGTTTGTGCGCCTGCTACCTTTTTTTGTTTGACTCGGGTGTGGGGTATACATACAGCTAGGTGCATGATGGCAAGAGGGTCGACAAGAAACTAGCCCTAAACCGTCATAAAATACCCGTACAGCCAGTGTAACACCATCAAAAAGCGTTGGAGAAACAGAAAGGGACGCTGTGGGCGCTCTAGATTCTAGATAAAACCAAGCAAGACCTCTTACAACCCCTAATCAACCCTTCACCATGTGCAGCCACCGAATGCCGAAACCCTAGCAAAAACCATTAGTTGGCAAAGCCCCAAACCCCCCCCAGAATCCTAACGCCCTAATCGAACTACCCCGGCACAAAGCAAAACCGCAAGGGCCTTGGTTGCTGGCTTTGCTGGGCGGAGGCACGGGAACCTGCCAGCGATGAAGCAGTTTCTCCACGAGGCGAAAGGAGACCAGAGTGTAGGGTTGTATGACTGTTATGACGATTTTGTGTTGAAGGTTTTACTTATCATGCATGACTTTGGGTGCTTTACAGTAAGGATCATGGAAACAAATCCCACTGGACATCTATGAACTATTGTTAAATTAAATGTGACGGTGATTGTGTGTGTGTGTGTGTGTGTGTGTGCGGCAGCCTTTTTTCTATGGCATGCCCGTGTGCTCGGCTGCGAGACGGAAAAAGAAACTCGGTGAGTTCAAGAGGAACAAGAGGAGGTTGATTTCATCAACCTTGACATCTTCTACTTTCTAAAATAGTTGCAGCCTTGGGTGGACAGTTTATGCCTTGGCATCCTCAGCAGCCATGTGCTTGATCAAATCGACAACTCGGCAGCTGTAGCCCCACTCCTGAGCTGTTTGTTTTTACTGTTTACTTTGCGGCCCTAAACCGAATATCAATTATGTTATGTTCCTTCTTCAAAATATACGATACCGAAAGTGTTCCAAGAGAGCCCGAGCAAGAATCGTTGTCATACCAGCAGACGACCTTGACGAAGGTGGGGTCCAGCATGATGCCAGCCTTGGAGTCGAAAGTGCAAGAGATCGGGTTGGTCTCGAAGTCAGTGGACACCAAGGCCTCGTCCGTGTAGCCCAGGTAGCCCTTCATGTCTCCCTCGGATCGCTTCTTCATCTCGGCGCAGATCTCCTCGTAGGTGGTCTCCTTCTCCAACTCCACGGTCAGGTCGACCACGGACACATCGATGGTCGGCACGCGCAAAGCCATGCCGGTCAGCTTGCCCTTCACATCCGGAATGACCTTCGCCACTGCCTTGGCGGCACCGGTGGAGCTAGGAATGATGTTGCCAGGGCCGGCGCGGCCACCGCGCCAGTCCTTCTTGGAGGTGCCATCCACCGTGGGCTGAGACGCAGTCATGGCGTGGCAGGTGGTCATCAGGCCGCGCTTGATGCCGAACTTCTCCTGCAGGACACGCACGGCTGGGGCCAGGCCGTTGGTAGTGCAAGAGGCGCAGGACACGGCCTCCATGGACGGGTCGTAAGTGTCCTCGTTCACGCCCATGACGATGGTGTGGGAGTCATCCTTTGCGGGAGCGGAGAAGATCACCTTCTTGGCACCGGCCTTCAAGTGGGGCTGCACCTTCTCGGTGGTCAGGAACACGCCAGTGGACTCACACACGTACTCAGCACCGTGCTCGCCAAAAGGGATCTCAGCAGGGTCGCGGGTGTGGGACAAGGCCACCTTCTGGCCGTCAATGACCAGGGAGTCGCCATCCACCTCGACGGTTCCATCATACTTACCGTGGATCGTATCATATTTCATCATGTATGCCAGGTAGTCGGCATCATAGCTGGCATTGATGAGCTTGAGCTCGGTCTCCGGGTCCTTCATGGCGATGCGGGCCACCTGCCTGCCGATGCGGCCGAAGCCGTTGATGCCGACGCCCACGGCCTGCATGGAGGTGCGTCCCTTGCTGGCACGCTTGCCAGCCACGCCCGCTGCGGCCAGGCCGGCCACGGCACCGAGGCCAGCCATGGCACCAACACCGGCAGCCTGAGAGGAGCCATAGCCAGCGGCGCGGAGGTTGGTCCTCTGCATCTGAGGCTCGCTGTGCTGGACCTGGCCAACAGGTGCCACGAAGGCACTGCTCAAGGCACCCGCTGCCGCGAAGGCACCGACGCCGGCCATGGCAACATTGGTGGCGGTGGAAGGCATGATTTCGAGGATCTGCACAACGAAGGGCTTTCGAACCTGCTTAATGGCCGCTGGGGGTAAAGCCTTGGGACTCGACTAGGATATTGCAGAATTCGCAACCAAAGCATGCAAATGAACGTGAACCCCCCATCTTCAGTACCAGTCGCCCCCAACAATGCAACCAACATACGGTCTGCCCAAAACGTTTTGTGGAGGAGGCCGTGCCCTTGTGCTCGGCAGCGAGACGGAAAAACAAACTCGGTGAGTTCAAGAGGAACAAGAGGAGGTTGATTTCATCAACCTTGACATCTTCTAATTTCTAAAATAGTTGCAGCCTTGGGTGGACAGTTTATGCCTTGGCATCCTCAGCAGCCATGTGCTTGATCAAATCGACAACTCGGCAGCTGTAGCCCCACTCCTGAGCTGTTTGTTTTTACTGTTTACTTTGCGGCCCTAAACCGAATATCAATTATGTTGTGTTCCTTCTTCAAAATATACGATACCGAAAGTGTTCCAAGAGAGCCCGAGCGAGAATCGTTGTCATACCAGCAGACGACCTTGACGAAGGTGGGGTCCAGCATGATGCCAGCCTTGGAGTCGAAAGTGCAAGAGATCGGGTTGGTCTCGAAGTCAGTGGACACCAAGGCCTCGTCCGTGTAGCCCAGGTAGCCCTTCATGTCTCCCTCGGATCGCTTCTTCATCTCGGCGCAGATCTCCTCGTAGGTGGTCTCCTTCTCCAACTCCACGGTCAGGTCGACCACGGACACATCGATGGTCGGCACGCGCAAAGCCATGCCGGTCAGCTTGCCCTTCACATCCGGAATGACCTTCGCCACTGCCTTGGCGGCACCGGTGGAGCTAGGAATGATGTTGCCAGGGCCGGCGCGGCCACCGCGCCAGTCCTTCTTGGAGGTGCCATCCACCGTGGGCTGAGACGCGGTCATGGCGTGGCAGGTGGTCATCAGGCCGCGCTTGATGCCGAACTTCTCCTGCAGGACACGCACGGCTGGGGCCAGGCCGTTGGTAGTGCAAGAGGCGCAGGACACGGCCTCCATGGACGGGTCGTAAGTGTCCTCGTTCACGCCCATGACGATGGTGTGGGAGTCATCCTTTGCGGGAGCGGAGAAGATCACCTTCTTGGCACCGGCCTTCAAGTGGGGCTGCACCTTCTCGGTGGTCAGGAACACGCCGGTGGACTCGCAGACGTACTCTGCACCGTGCTCGCCGAAAGGGATCTCAGCAGGGTCGCGGGTGTGGGACAAGGCCACCTTCTGGCCGTCAATGACCAGGGAGTCGCCATCCACCTCGACGGTTCCATCATACTTACCATGAATAGTATCATATTTCATCATGTATGCCAGGTAGTCGGCATCATAGCTGGCATTGATGAGCTTGAGCTCGGTCTCCGGGTCCTTCATGGCGATGCGGGCCACCTGCCTGCCGATGCGGCCGAAGCCGTTGATGCCGACGCCCACGGCCTGCATGGAGGTGCGTCCCTTGCTGGCACGCTTGCCAGCCACGCCCGCTGCGGCCAGGCCGGCCACGGCACCGAGGCCAGCCATGGCACCAACACCGGCAGCCTGAGAGGAGCCATAGCCAGCGGCGCGGAGGTTGGTCCTCTGCATCTGAGGCTCGCTGTGCTGGACCTGGCCAACAGGTGCCACGAAGGCACTGCTCAAGGCACCCGCTGCCGCGAAGGCACCGACGCCGGCCATGGCAACATTGGTGGCGGTGGAAGGCATGATTTCGAGGATCTGCACAACGAAGGGCTTTCGAACCTGCTTAATGGCCGCTGGGGGTAAAGCCTTGGGACTCGACTAGGATATTGCAGAATTCGCAACCAAAGCATGCAAATGAACGTGAACCCCCCATCTTCAGTACCAGTCGCCCCCAACAATGCAACCAACATACGGTCTGCCCAAAACGTTTTGTGGAGGAGGCCGTGCCCTTGTGCTCGGCAGCGAGACGGAAAAAGAAACTCGGTGAGTTCAAGAGGAACAAGAGGAGGTTGATTTCATCAACCTTGACATCTTCTAATTTCTAAAATAGTTGCAGCCTTGGGTGGACAGTTTATGCCTTGGCATCCTCAGCAGCCATGTGCTTGATCAAATCGACAACTCGGCAGCTGTAGCCCCACTCCTGAGCTGTTTGTTTTTACTGTTTACTTTGCGGCCCTAAACCGAATATCAATTATGTTGTGTTCCTTCTTCAAAATATACGATACCGAAAGTGTTCCAAGAGAGCCCGAGCGAGAATCGTTGTCATACCAGCAGACGACCTTGACGAAGGTGGGGTCCAGCATGATGCCAGCCTTGGAGTCGAAAGTGCAAGAGATCGGGTTGGTCTCGAAGTCAGTGGACACCAAGGCCTCGTCCGTGTAGCCCAGGTAGCCCTTCATGTCTCCCTCGGATCGCTTCTTCATCTCGGCGCAGATCTCCTCGTAGGTGGTCTCCTTCTCCAACTCCACGGTCAGGTCGACCACGGACACATCGATGGTCGGCACGCGCAAAGCCATGCCGGTCAGCTTGCCCTTCACATCCGGAATGACCTTCGCCACTGCCTTGGCGGCACCGGTGGAGCTAGGAATGATGTTGCCAGGGCCGGCGCGGCCACCGCGCCAGTCCTTCTTGGAGGTGCCATCCACCGTGGGCTGAGACGCAGTCATGGCGTGGCAGGTGGTCATCAGGCCGCGCTTGATGCCGAACTTCTCCTGCAGGACACGCACGGCTGGGGCCAGGCCGTTGGTAGTGCAAGAGGCGCAGGACACGGCCTCCATGGACGGGTCGTAAGTGTCCTCGTTCACGCCCATGACGATGGTGTGGGAGTCATCCTTTGCGGGAGCGGAGAAGATCACCTTCTTGGCACCGGCCTTCAAGTGGGGCTGCACCTTCTCGGTGGTCAGGAACACGCCAGTGGACTCACACACGTACTCAGCACCGTGCTCGCCAAAGGGATCTCAGCAGGGTCGCGGGTGTGGGACAAGGCCACCTTCTGGCCGTCAATGACCAGGGAGTCGCCATCCACCTCGACGGTTCCATCATACTTACCGTGGATCGTATCATATTTCATCATGTATGCCAGGTAGTCGGCATCATAGCTGGCATTGATGAGCTTGAGCTCGGTCTCCGGGTCCTTCATGGCGATGCGGGCCACCTGCCTGCCGATGCGGCCGAAGCCGTTGATGCCGACGCCCACGGCCTGCATGGAGGTGCGTCCCTTGCTGGCACGCTTGCCAGCCACGCCCGCTGCGGCCAGGCCGGCCACGGCACCGAGGCCAGCCATGGCACCAACACCGGCAGCCTGAGAGGAGCCATAGCCAGCGGCGCGGAGGTTGGTCCTCTGCATCTGAGGCTCGCTGTGCTGGACCTGGCCAACAGGTGCCACGAAGGCACTGCTCAAGGCACCCGCTGCCGCGAAGGCACCGACGCCGGCCATGGCAACATTGGTGGCGGTGGAAGGCATGATTTCGAGGATCTGCACAACGAAGGGCTTTCGAACCTGCTTAATGGCCGCTGGGGGTAAAGCCTTGGGACTCGACTAGGATATTGCAGAATTCGCAACCAAAGCATGCAAATGAACGTGAACCCCCCATCTTCAGTACCAGTCGCCCCCAACAATGCAACCAACATACGGTCTGCCCAAAACGTTTTGTGGAGGAGGCCGTGCCCTTGTGCTCGGCAGCGAGACGGAAAAAGAAACTCGGTGAGTTCAAGAGGAACAAGAGGAGGTTGATTTCATCAACCTTGACATCTTCTAATTTCTAAAATAGTTGCAGCCTTGGGTGGACAGTTTATGCCTTGGCATCCTCAGCAGCCATGTGCTTGATCAAATCGACAACTCGGCAGCTGTAGCCCCACTCCTGAGCTGTTTGTTTTTACTGTTTACTTTGCGGCCCTAAACCGAATATCAATTATGTTGTGTTCCTTCTTCAAAATATACGATACCGAAAGTGTTCCAAGAGAGCCCGAGCGAGAATCGTTGTCATACCAGCAGACGACCTTGACGAAGGTGGGGTCCAGCATGATGCCAGCCTTGGAGTCGAAAGTGCAAGAGATCGGGTTGGTCTCGAAGTCAGTGGACACCAAGGCCTCGTCCGTGTAGCCCAGGTAGCCCTTCATGTCTCCCTCGGATCGCTTCTTCATCTCGGCGCAGATCTCCTCGTAGGTGGTCTCCTTCTCCAACTCCACGGTCAGGTCGACCACGGACACATCGATGGTCGGCACGCGCAAAGCCATGCCGGTCAGCTTGCCCTTCACATCCGGAATGACCTTCGCCACTGCCTTGGCGGCACCGGTGGAGCTAGGAATGATGTTGCCAGGGCCGGCGCGGCCACCGCGCCAGTCCTTCTTGGAGGTGCCATCCACCGTGGGCTGAGACGCGGTCATGGCGTGGCAGGTGGTCATCAGGCCGCGCTTGATGCCGAACTTCTCCTGCAGGACACGCACGGCTGGGGCCAGGCCGTTGGTAGTGCAAGAGGCGCAGGACACGGCCTCCATGGACGGGTCGTAAGTGTCCTCGTTCACGCCCATGACGATGGTGTGGGAGTCATCCTTTGCGGGCGCGGAGAAGATCACCTTCTTGGCACCGGCCTTCAAGTGGGGCTGCACCTTCTCGGTGGTCAGGAACACGCCAGTGGACTCACACACGTACTCAGCACCGTGCTCGCCAAAAGGGATCTCAGCAGGGTCGCGGGTGTGGGACAAGGCCACCTTCTGGCCGTCAATGACCAGGGAGTCGCCATCCACCTCGACGGTTCCATCATACTTACCATGAATAGTATCATATTTCATCATGTATGCCAGGTAGTCGGCATCATAGCTGGCATTGATGAGCTTGAGCTCGGTCTCCGGGTCCTTCATGGCGATGCGGGCCACCTGCCTGCCGATGCGGCCGAAGCCGTTGATGCCGACGCCCACGGCCTGCATGGAGGTGCGTCCCTTGCTGGCACGCTTGCCAGCCACGCCCGCTGCGGCCAGGCCGGCCACGGCACCGAGGCCAGCCATGGCACCAACACCGGCAGCCTGAGAGGAGCCATAGCCAGCGGCGCGGAGGTTGGTCCTCTGCATCTGAGGCTCGCTGTGCTGGACCTGGCCAACAGGTGCCACGAAGGCACTGCTCAAGGCACCCGCTGCCGCGAAGGCACCGACGCCGGCCATGGCAACATTGGTGGCGGTGGAAGGCATGATTTCGAGGATCTGCACAACGAAGGGCTTTCGAACCTGCTTAATGGCCGCTGGGGGTAAAGCCTTGGGACTCGACTAGGATATTGCAGAATTCGCAACCAAAGCATGCAAATGAACGTGAACCCCCCATCTTCAGTACCAGTCGCCCCCAACAATGCAACCAACATACGGTCTGCCCAAAACGTTTTGTGGAGGAGGCCGTGCCCTTGTGCTCGGCAGCGAGACGGAAAAAGAAACTCGGTGAGTTCAAGAGGAACAAGAGGAGGTTGATTTCATCGACCTTGACATCTTCTAATTTCTAAAATAGTTGCAGCCTTGGGTGGACAGTTTATGCCTTGGCATCCTCAGCAGCCATGTGCTTGATCAAATCGACAACTCGGCAGCTGTAGCCCCACTCCTGAGCTGTTTGTTTTTACTGTTTACTTTGCGGCCCTAAACCGAATATCAATTATGTTGTGTTCCTTCTTCAAAATATACGATACCGAAAGTGTTCCAAGAGAGCCCGAGCGAGAATCGTTGTCATACCAGCAGACGACCTTGACGAAGGTGGGGTCCAGCATGATGCCAGCCTTGGAGTCGAAAGTGCAAGAGATCGGGTTGGTCTCGAAGTCAGTGGACACCAAGGCCTCGTCCGTGTAGCCCAGGTAGCCCTTCATGTCTCCCTCGGATCGCTTCTTCATCTCGGCGCAGATCTCCTCGTAGGTGGTCTCCTTCTCCAACTCCACGGTCAGGTCGACCACGGACACATCGATGGTCGGCACGCGCAAAGCCATGCCGGTCAGCTTGCCCTTCACATCCGGAATAACCTTCGCCACAGCCTTGGCGGCACCGGTGGAGCTAGGAATGATGTTGCCAGGGCCGGCGCGGCCACCACGCCAGTCCTTCTTGGAGGTGCCATCCACCGTGGGCTGAGACGCGGTCATGGCGTGGCAGGTGGTCATCAGGCCGCGCTTGATGCCGAACTTCTCCTGCAGGACACGCACGGCTGGGGCCAGGCCGTTGGTAGTGCAAGAGGCGCAGGACACGGCCTCCATGGACGGGTCGTAAGTGTCCTCGTTCACGCCCATGACGATGGTGTGGGAGTCATCCTTTGCGGGAGCGGAGAAGATCACCTTCTTGGCACCGGCCTTCAAGTGGGGCTGCACCTTCTCGGTGGTCAGGAACACGCCAGTGGACTCACACACGTACTCTGCACCGTGCTCGCCGAAAGGGATCTCAGCAGGGTCGCGGGTGTGGGACAAGGCCACCTTCTGGCCGTCAATGACCAGGGAGTCGCCATCCACCTCGACGGTTCCATCATACTTACCGTGGATCGTATCATATTTCATCATGTATGCCAGGTAGTCGGCATCATAGCTGGCATTGATGAGCTTGAGCTCGGTCTCCGGGTCCTTCATGGCGATGCGGGCCACCTGCCTGCCGATGCGGCCGAAGCCGTTGATGCCGACGCCCACGGCCTGCATGGAGGTGCGTCCCTTGCTGGCACGCTTGCCAGCCACGCCCGCTGCGGCCAGGCCGGCCACGGCACCGAGGCCAGCCATGGCACCAACACCGGCAGCCTGAGAGGAGCCATAGCCAGCGGCGCGGAGGTTGGTCCTCTGCATCTGAGGCTCGCTGTGCTGGACCTGGCCAACAGGTGCCACGAAGGCACCGCTCAAGGCACCTGCTGCCGCGAAGGCACCGATGCCGGCCATGGCAACATTGGTGGCGGTGGAAGGCATGATTTCGAGGATCTGCACAACGAAGGGCTTTCGAACCTGCTTAACGGCCGCTGCGGTGAGGCAAACAGGGTTCAAGGATGTATGAAGTCCAAGGTAATCATGCTTGCAACACGATTGATAAGAACAATCATTGCCCTTGCACCACAAACACAGAAGTGCTTCAAGAGTAGCAAGTACGAGAAGCATAGCAATGAGATTGATCCTAATACATCCTAATACTATCCTAATGTTGGCGACAAACATTGTAGGAACCACAGGAGTAGAGAGAACACTGAACATGCTACCACTGCTCACGCCACCAGCAATGCAGAAATCGCATGTCAGCATCAGTGTCAATTTTTCCGACCTCATGTTGAGCATCATCGTCATCATTATTAACAGTGCTTTGATCACCTTCGCACTCATCTCATGTTCTTATTCCGCTTCATACTCATCACCGTCATGACCGTCATCGCTGTCATCATCGCCATGGCAAGCATCTCAGCATCACCGTCCCTGCCCCGTCATTGTCAGTAGTGTCACATTCACGACCATCGCAGAATATGGGGCCTAAATAATTACCTATAGTATTTTGTGGCTTCCTTAGTATACTTATAGTACAATGGGCCCCAAAGCCCTCTTCTAATAATTAAGGTCCCTGCATGAGCGTGGGCACCTCGCAGTCTTCTTCGGAAACCTTCCGATTCGTCTCGCCAATCTCCTGGTTTAGCGCACGAGGGGTGCTGCAGGGGCCTGGAGAAGTACATATGGGGGGAGCAGAAAGGCTCTTGCAAGGGGTTATTAGGGGATCTGTACCGCATCCATGCTGACGTGGGCCTTTAACAGGAGAACGGGGTGTTTTGTTAAAGTCACTAGAGGGTAACACAATGGGGCCTCGAGAAGTAGAACAGGGTTTTCGAAATGGTTTATGGGATTGCTGTAAATGGCCTTTGAAGCCTTTGGGCGCCTGTATGTGGTCGTGTGAGACAAGCTTGGGGTTGTCATAAGGGAATGAACTAGCGCAGCGTTTTCTGCTTACTTGCAAAGGGACTCTGAGGGGAGAGTGTTCAGGGTATAGGTTAACTGCAACTCTTGAGGGATAGCCCAAACCCGTAAACGACTCGACGCGCTCGCAACCCCAAACTTGGGAACTCCCGCCCCCAACGCGAAGCCCTACTCTCTCTCTCTCTCTCTCTCTCTCTCTCGCTCTCTCTCTCTCTCTCTCTCTCTCTCTCTCTCTCTCTCACCCCAACCGAACGTCTTGTAGTGAGATGCTTATGAAGACGGCATTAAGTCTCCTACCACAAGCTCTACCCTGAAGGCCACCTGACATAACATACACAAAAAGCATGCATACGTACCACGAACACACCAAACAACCCTTGAAAAAACACCGTAACACCCTCTCCCCTTGCGCTGAACCCCTAGACCCTAACCCCTAACCCTGAACCCTAAACCCCCTAAGCCCTAAACCCTAAACCCCCTGAACCCTAAACCCCCTAAACCCCAAACCGCCTAAACCCTAAGCCCAGCAGCCCGAAACCCAAACCATGGCACCTGCCTCGGGCTCTGGTGAGACTAAGGCTTCGAGGTCTGCGAGCACCGGGCCTTTCTGGTTTAGGCTTTTTTAGGGTTTAGGGTTTAGGCTTTATAGGCTTTAAGGGTTTAGGGGTTCAGGGTTCAAAGGCTTCAGGGTTGGGACTAGGAGAAGAGGAGTTTAGGGGTTTGGGGACTCAGGGGTCTGGGGTTTAGGAATTTGGGCGCTCGGGTTCTTGGGCTGAGGGGTGCCTATAAGGGTGGTTATCAAAATTAGGGTCCCTTTTTGGGCACCCTAGATCATAGGTGCCGTACTTTTTTTTAGGGACCCAAAAAAGAGGGACCCTAATCCTGACAACCACCCATCAAGGCTTAACGTATGGGCTGGATAACTGCCCTACCAGGGCTCTGGAAAGCAACCCGTGGCCTGAAATAGTAAGGTAGGGCTTGTTTGCCTTATGGCACACCATACTTGCATAGGAGCTCTTGAAAAACCACCCTACTAGAAATTTCGGGCCACTGGTCTTAGGCTTCGAACATAGGCTGAGTGAGATTCGACTGTGATCTCTAGCACCTTCAGGGGCAAACGGCATGGGGATGAATTTAATTTTACCCTTTGCCCTGCACTATACTGAACTTAGAACCCTAGCAACAATTACAATTTTAGCTGTTTCTCAGGGATTATTACAACCAAAAAATCAAAACTTTTTCTAAGTACCCCTAAGTACACACCTAAACCTTAATTTTTAGGAGTTTAGGGCCTTGGGGCCTGGGTGTGTTGGGCTTGGGGGTGAAGGCTTAGGCTACGGGGTTTCGGGGCTCGAAACGGTTTGGGCTACTTCAGCACCAAAACTAAAGCAGCAGCCTTGACGTCCCAGTTCCCGTTGCCCAAAGCCTAGAACCCAATGTGGCCCCACCTCAGGCTCTATCGCGCTTATGAACTATCAGCGCTCATGTTGAATGCATTCTGATCAGCAACCCCGGCCCTTCGTAGACACGATATTAAGGATCCTACTCTGCCCAGGGATCGTAAGCACAATGGGCTTCTCAATCATGCAGGGCTTAACCCCCCGTTGAATGGTGTTGGGGAGGTCGGGTTCTCCTGGGCTTTCCACTTGTTTAAAGTGTGTATCTATTGTATTGCTATGCTATATGGGAGTTTTTCCGAAAATAGGGGACCTTAATATACTACCCTACTTAGTAGGATCCTTATTATAAGGACCCCAAAATAAGGCACCCCCTAATTTTCGGAAACTCCCATATCATTACAATAGTGGCTTCGGGTTAGGTTGGAATGCAAACCCCTGGATTTAAGTTGGTGTCTTGCGATTCTGGGTTCAGGATCCTTTTAGGGCTTTCGGGCTAGAGACCGGCCCAAATTCGACAAAGGTTCTTGAGGAGGGTATTGCACTGAAAATAAAACATATGTGTGTATGGACATATACACTTACATAGGAACAGAAATACGAATGTGTCTATAGAGATCGATAAATACATAGATACAGCTATGCATGCATACATGCTTACATTCATACATGCGCAGTTAGCTGGTTCATGACCCATACAGCCAACACAACACTGTAACAACATCAACAAGTGCGTAAAGCGGAAGCCAATGGAAACTGACTCTCGGGATCGCGCCCAACAGACCGTCCACGCTCGGAAGGTCCATGCCGCCGATCTTCTCTCCTCGTATCGCCAGGCGTTTCGGGGGCTTTAGGGTTTGGGGTTCATTCACTCATTCGCTCATTCCATGTATTCTTTCTTTCTTTCGTTCTTTCGTTTCGTTCGTTTGAATAGCTATGTTTTTCTTTCTTTCCTTCACTTCATTCGCCTAATTAACTCATTCATTCGTTCATTCATTCATATCAACTGCTTTCATGCACTCATTCAACCATTCATTAAGCCCTCCGACCCTAAGCTGAAGTTTGCCCTCGAAGTCACCTGAAAGTTATGAAAGCTCCTCCTCGCTCCGCTGTCGCTGCTGCTGCTTGCTGCTGTGCTGCTGCTGCCGCTGCTGCTGCTGCTGCTGCCGCTGCCGCGGCCTCCGCTGCAGCCTCCGATTTTCGAAGGCGCTCGAGTGCCTTCGCCGGCTCAGGCTTTCGTGGCAGGTTTAGCGTTAAGAGCTTCGCTTCGTAACATTAGGGCAAACCATTAGGACTTCACTTTGGGCGGTTCCTGCAAATGCACCCTAAACCCTAAACCGCTTTAGGGTCCCCCTAAACCCGAAACCCTGAACCTAAACCCTAACCCATCTATTGCTGCCGCCTTTTCCTCGCTTCCGCCTACAACGACCACTGCTGTCACTCCTGCTGCGACAGTTTGAAGTTTAGGGTTGAAGGATTTAGGGCTTAGGGGTCTGGGGGTTTAGGGTTATAGTAAGGGTTTTGGGGTTTAAGGGTATAGGGTTTAGGGGTTTGGGGGTTTAGGGTTTGCAGTAAGGGTTTAGGGGTTAGGGTCTAGCAAGCTACTGCTACAGTGACTGCTACTGAGTACGTCTGCTACTGCTTCCTGCATGCCACTTTTAACACTGAAAACAACAATGCGACGACTAAGAGAATGAACGCCAAGGGCCACGATGACGACCCTACACCCGAGGAACACAACAGCGGCCACAAAGACGAGGACGATCTGGCCTTGCAAGCACGGCAGCAATCGTCGTAACCCATAGCTTAGGGGCTGAGGGCTTACAAAGGGTTTAGGGCATCACCCTACGGATGTTGGATTTAGACCTCAGAGTTCCAGGTCTACGGTCAAAGGCACTAGGTGCACTCTCAAACCGTGAATCCTGAATCTGAAGAACCCTCAACATGACACACAAATAGGCCTGAAAAATTAGAATAAATAGGGCCTTGGCCAAGTCCCCAAAACCCTGGACCCTTGCAACATCTGCATATTCCGAGATAGCCCCAACCCCGCAACCCCACCCCCCCCAGTCAGTGAAGCTTCACAACACGGAAGCCCGCTGGGTCATGCTGTTGTTTAGGCTTAGAGCTAAGCTCCCCAAAGCGCTAAACACCCAAAAGCCCCAAACCCCTAAAACCCCAAACCCTAAACCCTAAACCCCAAACCTTAAAGCCCTGAATCGCTCAAATCCGAAACCCTGATCTGATCCCCAACACCCAAAACCCCTGACTCCCACGAGGTCGCCCCGGCTCCAACAACAGTATCCCGAAACGACACCATGAAGCCCTCTGAAGCTCTCAAAAAAAGTAATAAAAAACTTGGAATGCCCTTGTTGCGTATGGCATTTTACTCTTATTGTGATGATTGCATTTGTGATGATGGCTAGTATCTTCATATATATATATATATTTACTATACCATGTTATATCAGTTTTGTTATATCATATTACGTTATACTGTGGTATCGTATGTCAAGAAGGGGCAAGGTCTGAGATGAGCACGGGGATCGCCGGCGGCGAGGCAGTTCGCTCTGTGGAGGTCCTTCGACACAGGCCACAAAACTCTCTTTATGGGAGCCC